AAAAGAGGAGCACCATTGGAGGATTATTAGCCTGGGAAAGTGGGTGGGTTTCTAGAGGAAGCAGTGTTGACTCTGAGGCCCACAGGAAGATCAGGAGTCCACACTGAATCAACAAATAGTGCCTGAGACCCGCTACACACCAAGACCTGCGGTTACCCGGGTTTGGGTTCCCGGAAGTGAGGAAAATGATCAGCGATGCTGTCCCTATCCCTGAGGCTTCCGTGTTACAGCAAAAGGTTAATGTGGGTAAGGAATGAGCCAGAAGGGAGAGGCGAGCTCCGCAGACCGGGAACAGCATGTGAAGAGGTCAGTTAGACAAAGAGCCAGGAACCCTCCAGGCAGTCTGATGAGCTCAGCAAGGCCAGAGGAGGCTGGGGGGCTGCTCTCCAGAGCCCCCTAGAAGCTTAAAATGCTCCAGCTCACCCCATAAAAGTTCTCTCCTTCCTCCCAGGGCGTTTCTCAAGGACTCTTCCTTGCTGGCACTTTCTTGGCCTGTCACCTTGCGTGGTATCAGCCATGGTATTTCCCATGCACTTGGTAGGTGTCCGCCAATTAGCAAGGCCTTCTGAACTTCACAGAGAGCCAATTGTCTCTTCTCTGAAAGTTCCCTGATGACTGTGAGCCATCCGACCATCAGTGCCCTCTGTGCTGGCAAGCCTGTGGTAGGGACAACTCCTGAGCAACAGTCCCTCCACACCTGTCCTGCTCACGCACCAGCTGAGGCTCCTGCACATCCAAGGGGCTGGCTGGTGGTCTAACCCCCACTCCACATGGATGAACTAGCTGAGGCCCCCAAAGTGAAGGGCCTTTATTGTATTTGGAAAATGACAAACCCCAAAATAGTGTGGCCGGGGAAGAAGGAATGAGGGAGAAGGCAATACATTGATCCTTTCCCAATACATTCTTTCCCAGGGACAAGACAGGCCCCAGGGAGGAGATATCCATCGAGTCTGGAATGACAGTCTCTGGAAAGAAGCCAGAGCATTGATCCTTCCCTAAACAAATCCTTCCCCAGACCCTCCATCTGGCCCAGTAAAGACAAATCTCAGATACTGACCACTGGCCCCAGGCCCACTCCATCTCGCCCAGCAAAACAGATTCCAAATGCCTAAGTGCCTAAACTGACATGATCATTAATTAAGTCACCTCTCAGTGTAACCTATGTAAGTGTAAACTCCCCATTTGGCCGGTGGCTTATTTTCCACCAGGAAAGTGGGTCCATCAGAGGCATGACTCCATTCCCAAATAAAGGCTTTTGCTGATCAGTGAAGTTTGAATCCAGCCCAGTCTTCTTGTGCTAACAGCCTTGACCAACCACTCTTGGTGGCAAAGCCAAGATGAGAATCCAAGCCTCTTGACTTCCAGTCTTCCCTCTTTTCCTACTGCCTCTCTCTGCCCTCTTTCTTCAGAGGCTCAGGACACTGTTATGCTATTTCAGTAATAATAATAACAACAACGATGAATGCCAAGTTTCCAGTATTCTTCAGTGGCACGCTATACTCCAAACTTGTATCCATTTTGTCTCATTTAATCCTCCTGTGGTGGCTGTCTTTAGGAATGGTCTCCCAACAATAGTTTCCCTCTCTGCCCCTGCTGCTCTTCATAGCAAAGATAAAACTCATTTCTCCTCCTCTTGAATCCTGGCTGGCCCTGAGAATTCTTTGACCAATGGAACAGAATGTGGTGGAAGGGAGATTCTGTGCTCTACAGAGCATTAGAGAGAGAGTGGATGAAATGGAGTGACCAGATCACCCCTAGAAGCACAATTTACATTTACAGAAAATGCACTGGTAATGGAGAACCTTTCAACTGCATGCTCAGATTCTGGTTTTCTGCCACTCTCTCTATAATGCTCACAAGATTCCAACAGGTGCTATTGTAAGAGAGCTTGTAGGAGCCATTTTTTGTTGATTTGTTTGTTTATCTTTTAATTTGTTTCTCTGTTCTTTGGCATTTGTAGGAGCCATTTGAAAGGGTTTTAACCACTGGGGCACAGGTACACACTCCTATAATCCCAGTGGCTTGGGAGGCTTTAAGGGAGGAGGATCATGAGTTCAAAGCCAGCCTCAGCAACTTAGGCCCTAAGTAACTCAGCAAGACCCTGTCTCTAAATAAAATACAAAAGAGAACTAGGGATATGTCTCAGTGGTTAAGCACCCCTGGATTTAATCTCTGGTACCAAAAAAAAGAAAAAGAAAGAAAGGGTTTTGACCAGTGTGGTACCAGCTTGCAATCATGGAAAGAATGTTAAAATAGCGCATTGAGGTTCTTGTTTTCGTCCCCCTCTATAGAGTGCTCAGAGGGTGCCAATAGACAGTATTGTAAGAAGGTTTTTAGAGTAATGCTGAAATGGAGGTAACCAGAACTGTCCTAAAGTGGCACAAGCTTGAGTTCATAGAAAACATGTTGGTGATGGTGAACTTTTCCAACACCACACATAGGAATGTTTTTGCAACCACCCTCTTTATAGTACTGATGACAGGTGGTAGTACCTGGAGGAACCCAGAGGCCCCTGGCTATCACCCCAGCTGAACTCTCGACCAGTGGACACCACCAAATGCCAACCATAGGAGTGAAGCTATTTTGGACCTTCAAACCATCCCAGAGCCCTAGCCAATCATAGAAAGCCAACAAATCACCCATCAACCTACACAATCATGAAAAATATTGTTGTCTTAAGCCACCAAGCTTGGGGCTATTTTGTTATGTTGCAATAGCTAAGTGGAAGAAAAGTTGGTACCTGGAAGTGGGGTTCTGCTATAACAAAACCTAAAGCCTGTGGCATTGGCTCTGGGAGTTGGCATCAAGCTGAGCCTGAGTGTCCTCAGGAATACAAGTCTAGCTAGAGTGTGGGGAAATTACCAATTAATCCTTGAAAAAAGGCCTAGGGGTAGAAGCTGTTCCTTATGTTTATAGTTCCTATATGTTTGGTTCTCTGGGGTTTTTTTAATATTTATTTTTTAGCTTTAGGTGGACACAATATCTTTATTTTACATTTATGTGGTGCTGAGGATCTAACCCAGTGTCTCATGCATGTTAGGCGAGCGCTCTACCACTGAGCAACAACCCCAGCTCTGTTCTGTTTTTTTCCAGTGGATCAAACTCAGGGGATCAAACTCAGGGCTTCATGCAAAGTAGGCTAGCACTTTGCCACTGAGCCAATCCTGTCCCCAGTTCTTATATTCTTTAGTGTTTGCTATGTATCAGCCAATGCCTCCAGTCCTCTAATACAACTCTTTATATTAACTTTCTCTATTCAATTATTATCCTTTGATTAGATCCTGACAGCTACATCTTGGCCCAAAAGCATCACTTGAGCTCCAAGCTGGTGACCAGAACCAAATCTAGTCCTATGGGTGAGGCCATTTTTGTCCTTCCAGCCATCCTAGCACACCAAACAACATCACACGAAGGAGAAGCACACAGCACACCGACAGAACCATGAGAAATGATAAAGTATCATGCCACACCTCTCCATCTGCATGATTTGTTGTGTGGTTAGATGTCTGAAACTCTTCCCTCCAGCCCCCTAGGCATCATATCCACAAAGAAGCTTAAGCCCAGCGAGGATGACAGACATGACCACAATCACAGAACTAGCAGGTGGCTGGACCGGTGTTCAAACCAGGTCTGTATGAACCAAGCCCTTTCAAACACCTTGTCTCACTCAAAGAGCTGAGAGGGAACTCAGGAATACTGTCCACCCTCTGTCACTCTCCAGTCAGGAAACAGAAGGAAGATCAGAGTGGAAGCCATTTGCCCAAGTGACCCTTGTCACAGATGGCCATCAGAATTCTGAATTAGCAGCTCAGTTCTCCTGACTTCCATCCCAGAGCTCTGGCTATCCCCCCACCCCCACCACCGCCCATGGCTCTCACGACTTCCCTTCCACTCTCTCCTTCACTCACACACATCCCCCAAGGAATGCCCTTGGGTGAGGGGACAGTATTGCCATAGTTGAGAACCTCTAGGACATATTTGGCCATATCTTGAGACATATTTGGTTGTCAGAATAGGGAAGAGGGGAACACTGCCAGCGTCTAGTTCTAGAAGCCAGCAGGACCACAAAGTGAACAGGGCACCACGACCCCACCCCCAACAGAATTACGCAGCTTGCAATGTCAGTAGTGCTGCTGCAAGCAACCCTGGATTAGAGAAACCCACAGTCCCCTTGAGTCTTTGTTTTTCCCCAAGTGCCCAGTTTGCTTGCTCAAGACTAGCTGGACAGCACCTTCTGCAATCATGTTCACCTACTGAAAATACCTAAGTGGATGGTGAAGTTCTGAGGAAATCTGTGGCAGGGTCCACCTATCAATCACAGCAAGGCCCACCTATCATAGCAGGGCCCACCTATTAATCCCAGCAAGTTCCACCTATCCATCACAGCAGGGCCTACCTATTAGGCACAGCAAGCCACACCTATCAATCACAGCAAGTCCCAGCTATTGTAGCAGGGCCCAGTCACTTCCAAGACAGCAGGTTTGATTCGCTACAATTAGTTTATTGGAGGCACAGAATGAGACAGACAAACGTGCAGGAAGGCAGCTGAGTCATTGGCTTTGTAGAAGTTTCTGCAGGCAGCCCAGGAAGGAGGTACTCTCCCTCCCTCCCTTGGCCAGGTCCCTCACAGAGTTACAGGAAAACCAGCAACAATGTTCATTCCCATTTGCATTTCCAGGTGAAAGCACCTGAGCAACCTCCTGGAAAGGGCAGAAAGGGAGATTCTGGGGCCGGCCCTGTTCCTCCAAGCTCTGGAGAAGGGGGTCAGGCAGGACCAATGAATCCAGCAAAAAACAAAAGGCGGAAGAAAAGGATGAATCCTTGGGACAACAAACTACTGGGAAAGGTTACAGAAAGAGACCAAGGCGCCGCCCCTGCCTCCCGGGGCTCAGGGCGCCCAGAGGGGAGCAGGCGGGGACTAAGTGTAGGGTGTACACATCAGACAACCAACCGGCTCGGGGAGGCCGGCAGTGGGTGGTGCGTTCCGGTTGCGCGAGGTCCTGGCTGGGCAGAGGGTGACGGTGGCCTTCGATTGTAGCTTCCATTGTAGGTGGCCTCCTAGCACTTCCTACAGCCGCCGCTGCAGGCGCCGGCCCCGGCGCAGGGGGCGCAGGCGTTGGGGGTGCCCACCACCACGTTGCCGCTGCAGGGGGCGCTGCAAACTCTGGTGTTGACAGCAGGGGAAGTACCGGAGACACAGAGATCGCCACAGGCGACGCCACCGCGAGAGCTGCTGACGCCTGCATGGGGGAGAACAGGGAGTCACGCGTCAGGCACAGCTCCAGCCAGGTGGCTTTGCAGCGAGCGCGATGCCCCCTCCCCAAAGGTTCGGGCCTCCCTAGCTGGAGAAAGGGGAGGGCTCGGACTACTTACATACGTTCACGGCGCCAACGCCCTCACACAGCCTGTTGGGAGATGAAAAGTTGACAGGTCAGTACCGCAGGAAAGGCTCCGCGATCAGCAACCAGGTGCAAGGTGTGATTTGTGGGCCTCCCTTTGGGGACTTGCCAGGGGAAAGGAGTAAGAAACCAGCAAGGGGAGCCCCAGATCCCCGTCACCACGTGGGTGCTGGAGTCGGCCTGCAAGCACCTGCAGTCCACTGCCCGCTGCTTATTAACTATGCATTGTGAGTTTTAACCTTTCTGGGCCTAGGTTTCCTCATCAGGAAAATCGACTCCCATACATGCAAAGCTTAGTACCCAGCACGCAGTGAGCACTTAAGAACTCTTCCCTGCAGCAGTTTCTAGGTTCTGATTTTTGTAAATGTATTTGAGGGGGGACAGACAACCTCCCACCCAAATAAACAATTATGGGACAAAACTAAAAGGAAAAGATTAAGCTCTAGTTCTGAGAGTCTCTCCTTAAGAGGCTGGAGCTGTAGAGCTGTCCTCTAGCCATGGGCAGTCTGAATGACCAAAGGATCTTTTCCCCTACCTCCATCCCCACCTCCAGGGCAGGCCAAAAACAAAACTCCTGAGAGTAAGTCAAACCTGCCACAAGGGACAGATCCTGCTCTTGGTCTACCTCAGCCCCAGGCTATAATGGAAGACCATTTTGGAGTATTTTATTATGATTACAGTAGGTAAGCAAAGTTTGAAGGGATTTCCTGCTGAAGCAGGCTTTAGGAAATAAATCAGAATTCCCAGGGCTAGGGCAAGAATTAGGCAGGACCAGGCTAGGTAAGAGCCCTAATCCTGAATGACACAAAAACCAGGACTGGGAAAGAGGGAGTGCCATTCAAGGAAGATGACCCGAGGTTAAGTTAGACTCTCAGGAACAGACATCACCCTACATATACACAACTCTGAATTCAGATATATAAAAGTCGTCAATCCCATATCACAGCCTAGGTAAGCATGACATTCAGATGGGGCTAGATCAGACTCAAAGGACTTACACAGGTTTCCTGTCCAGCTGCAGGTTGGTGAGGTGTGGTAACGGAGGTGGAGAGGTGCTGGGAGTGTGAGGGACATGGCATGCTGAGAGCCCAAGCATGATTGGGGGAGTAAAGAGTTATGGGACCCACCTCTGCTCCTCGCCCTCCAGCAGGCGCCTGTAGGTGGCGATCTCGATGTCCAGGCCCAGCTTGGAGTTCATCACCTCCTGGTACTCCTTGAGCAGGCAGGCCATGTCCTGCTTGGCCTTCTGCAGGGCGCCCTCCAGCTCAGCCAGCTTGCAGCGGGCATCGCTCAGGGCCGCCTCACCCTGCTGCTCAGACTGGGTTACTGCGGTCTCCAGCTTGTTGTTCTAGAGACCCAGAGGAGAACAGGGGAGGTTATGGTCCCTGAGTGTGTGTATATGTCATTGCCTGGATGTGCCCAGGGTCTCCTCACAGCTGGGAACAGCCCAGAAACAGGCCCTCTTGCCTTGTTCACCTGGATCACCCAGATTGACCACGCTGGGGACCTGGTCAGACAAATGGACTGCAGAATGAGTGGTGAGGCCCACATAGGGCACAGCCTGGCTGTGTGGCACTGGGCAGGGCCCAGCCCCCCTGCTGTTGGGCACAGAGAGCCATACCTGGCACTTGGCATTCTCAATCTCGGCCGTGAGCCTCTGGATGATGCGGTTCAGCTCGTTGATCTCCTCCCTGGTGCGGCGCAGGGTCTCCCCGTGCCTGATCACTGTGGCCTTCATCTCCTCGCACTGGGGGAGGCAGACATGCTCTGAGGCTCAGCATGGGCCACCCTGAGCCTGTGCAACCAGCCAGCCAGCCCTGCCCTGGCCCCAACCTCAGAGCTATCTGTCCTCCCCTCACCACCTCAGGGCATCAGAGTCCCCAGGCAAAAGAGGCCTTGTTCCCTTCCCACTGCCCCATGCACAAGGCAGGGGTCCTGAGCCCCTCACCTTGCTGCGGTACCAGGACTCGGCCTCAGCGCGGCTGCGGTTGGCAATGTCATCATACTGAGCCTTGATCTCAGCCACGATGCAGTCCATGTTCAGGTCTCGGCTGTTGTCCATCTTGACGATGACTGAGGTGTCAGAGATGTGGGACTGGAGAATGCGGATCTCCTGCAGGAGGAGCATGGGGACATGTCAGAGGCTCCTTGAGACCAGAGCCCAACCCAGCACACCAGTGCCCAACTTCTCAGACTCCCTTGGCCCCCAGACTCTGCCTGATCACACAATCCAGCCTGGAGCCCCAGACACAAATCCCTGTCCACCCTTCCACCTCCCTCTAGCCCTCTGCCCGGCCTAGCGACCCTCACCTCCTCATACAGTCGCCTCAGGAAGTCGATCTCCTGGGTCAGCGCCTCTGCGTTGGCCTCCAGGTCTGACTTGCGCAGGTAGGCGCAGTCCACGTCCTGGGAAGATGGGGGGTTGAGCTCAGAGGGTCCCTGAAGACTGTGCCTCCAAATTCCTCTCTCCTCTTACCCCTTCCATTCACACCAGGGGAGAAGGATCCCTACTGTCTCTACCACCAAGCCATCTCCTGCCTTCTGACTCTCCCCAGATGCACCCAGCAACTTCCTCAACTGTGACAACAAACCTTTGGTGCCTTGGACATGGCCCACCTGCCTGGCAGGACCCCTCCCACCTCTCCTTTTTACCTCTCCTGTAGGAAGCTTGCCCAGGGGACCCCTCAGTTCTGCCACCTGGTCCTTCCCTAGCCCCCAGTAGTCTCCCAAGTAGCCCCCTGACCACTCCCGGTCCTACTGCATCATCCCTAGACTCTGGGGTCAGATCTTTGCTTTTGTCGTCAGACTTTCAGCATGCCAACAGACCACACCACCCCCAACAGGCAGACTAAACTCCTGGACTCCAGGGGACCCCAGCCACAGATCTCCTAGGCACCCAGAGGTCAACACAGCCACCCCCTCGCCCCAGGGCAGGTGCGAGGGGTCATTTCCCTTGTCACAGCCCTAGGTGTGCCATTTGATGGTCTGCCTCTCTAGCAACTGCCCATCCTGATGTGGAGAGGTCACTGCACCCACCCTGAGGTTGAGCCCCCATGGTGACCCCAAAAGAGTCTGCCCCGAAATCCCCCATGGCTCTGCTTCCCTCAGCCATGCGACTCACCTTCTTCAGAGCCACAAACTCATTCTCAGCTGTGGCCCTCAGAGAAACTTCCTCCTCATACCTGAGATGGGAGAGAGGGGAGGTGAGGGCAGGGCAGTGTCCACAGACCCCACCCCACAGGCCAGCCAGGGGCTGGGGAGGGAAGCCCACACCGTTGGCCCCAGTCGCCCTGCCAAGTCCTTGCTGGTTGGAGTTGGGGTGTCTGGGATCCTCTTTCCACTCTGAGTTGGGGATGGAGAGGGCTCCTGTGGGACCTTCCAGTCCCAGTGCCAAGGCTGCACTGAGGTCCCCTCAGGAGGCAGAGAAGGGAGTGGACACTATGGCCTCTGGGGTACTGCAGCCAGCGCCCTCTGCCATGGTGTCAATCCTAGCTCTGCTGTGAGGTGTCATAGACCCAGAGGAACTCAGAACTGAGCACCAAGGCAGGGGGCCACCTAGTGTGGCCTCAGAGGATGGAAGGCTGAGGTGGGTGCAGAGCACTCCAGGCCTCAGGGCTGCTCTCAGGCAGGTGTGGACGGTCACAGCTCCATGAACAGGTCCTGCACCCCCTCAGTCTGCGCTGGGCCACACACCCTCCCTGGGCATTCTCATCATCTGTGCCAAGGGCTCTCCCAAAGCCAGTCTGTGCGGGAAGGGACACCAGAGCAGCCCCACTCACTTCTTCTTGTAGCCCTCCAGCACCTCCCGCACATGGTTGAGCTCTGAGGCCAGTCTCCCGCTGTCGGCCTCTGCACACTCGGCCTCCCGCCTCAGGGTCTCGATGTAGCCCTCGAACAGGGGCTCCAGGTTGCTCTCGCAGCACTTGCGGTTCTGGTAGAACTGCAGCTTGGTCTCCAGCAGCTTGTTCTGCTGCTCCAGGAAGCGCACCTGCCATTCAGGGTGGTGGAGAGGATGGATCAGGGGTCAGCCAGCTCTTGGCATGGGGGTGATTGTTTGAAGGGGCCTCTGACCCTGGAGCTCACCAGAGATCAGGCAGAGGTGAGCCTTGAGAACAGGACAACTTCTCCCTTTCCTGTTCCTGATCCATGGTGGGAACCAGGGGCTGATGTGGATATGTGCCTGTTCTTATGTGAGCCCAGTTCCCCATCCAGATGGATCCAAGGGACAAATGTCAGGGGCCAGGTTCAGGGCTCAGCACCCCTACTCTGAAGGCAGTGAGGCTGGAGCTCTCAGCCAGCGCCCCACATTCAGACCCCATCATGGGGTTCTGGTGGTGGGCATCATAGAGCTGATGTCAGGACATCCAGGACAGAGCTGGGCTATCCTGCCCTCCCCCACTTCCTCTGGCAGACATACCTCCCTGCCCCAGCATCCAGCCCTCAGCTGGGGCTGCCCAGTGCCCTAGATCAACAGCAGCTGCTGCATTCCTCCACAAGCTGAGTAGCTTGTACCTGAGCAGCCTGTCCTCTCTCTCTCTTTTTTTTTTTTTTACAATTGAGTCTTTCTGGCTCTGGAGTGCCTGCATAGGTCTGGAGTGCCTGTCTGTGTATGCCTCTCCCATCAGACTGTGATCTCGGTGAAACCGAAGTCTTTCTGCCTCTGCCTCTCCCCTCAATGCCCAGGCCTGGCTGTGTACCTGTGTTAGGCATCAGGAAGGGTGCGATCCAGGACACCCACCTTGTCAATGAAGGCAGCGAACCTGCTGTTGAGACCCTTGATCTGCTCTTTCTCCTCGTGCTTCACGCACTGTGCGTTGGGGTCGATCTCCAGGTTCAGGGGCGTGAGCAGGCTCTCGTTGACGGACACGGAGGTGATGCAGGGTGGGCTGGGTCCGCACACGCCTCCAGAGCGGTAGCCAAAGCTGCGGCCGCAGGAGCCAGAGCGGAAGGCTCCGCAGACGCTGCGGCTGCCGAAGCCTCCGGTGAGGCCGCGGTAGCAGGAGATGCCTCGGTAGGGGGCGGCGGTGATGCAGCAGCGGCCTGGCCGGGGCCCGCAGGCTGAGGCGCAGCTGAAGGCACGGCCACAGTAGGATCCACAAGTCATGGTGCTTTGGCGGGAGACGGGAGGCTCTGACGTTGGAGACGTCCAAATGGAGGGTGCAGTGGACGTGGATTCAATTGTTTGCCTTTTCCACCTCTGTCGGCCTTTTATATATCCGCGGAGCCTGGCTGACCACGTGGTTGGGGACTATTAGATGCCTTTATAGGCTTGGGTTGTTAAGCTACTGTGGCTCTCCCCTAAATGTGCTTAATTGGTGCCCATGTTTATGGTCCTTTGCCCTAAACTGCACAATTTTCTTCTTCAAAGGGCCAGCTCACCCCCACACTCACACCCCAGCCTTCTAATACACAGAAATTGAGAGGTTGAGAGACGTGGGGAGCACTGATTCAGGCTGGAAAGAGGGGCCAGGGCGGAGCTGGGGCTCAGATTAGCTGCTTTTTTTTTTGGGGGGGGGGGGGGTGGGGTCGGTGCCGCTGTCCATGGTGCTGATCTGACCGGCTCAGAAAGGTTGGGCCAGCACATCAGATGATGTAGAACCTGGGGTGTGCTTGATGGTCTCCCTGACCCAGATGGTCCCTTTCTGCACCCCAAAATCCCCACATTTACAAAAGTATCTAACTTAGTCTCTCACACAGGAACCCAACGCCTTCACACCTGCTCCCAAATCCTTCCCTATACCTGTCAAAACCTCTGTCTCCCCCCTCTCTCTCATCTCTCCCTTCCTTCCATCCTTCCCTCACCTCTCACTTCCCTCCCTCTCACTGTCTCTCCACTCACTGGCTGCCTTCCCTCCACCTGTCCTCAGGTACTCATCTGCACCTTCGCTCATCCTCACAGGAACATACGTGTGTACAGGCTCTTAGGCCATCTGGCCAGTCTATGCCATAAGGAGGCATGCCTTCCCTTGGGGTCTTCCACAAGGTCTCGGGGGAACACAGTGGCTCACTGATCCCAGGAGTACCCAGTTATTTCCACCAAGGCTTCGAGCAATGACCAAATATCTACATTTCACTGCAGGCCTCTGTGTTTCCTCCAAGGTCTGAGTGAGCCCTACTTCTACATACCATTGCATACCATTGGCTCAGAATACTAAACCCCATAGAGCTATCTGGTCCAGCCCCCACCTCACTCCCTGAATCCTGCTACTTTCCATGTTCTGCCCTCCTGAATGCCCCTCCATGCACAGCAGTTTGTCATTAACCTTGACAGGTGTCAGAAGAGATCCAAATTGCTGCCCATCCAGTGTGGACCTGAACTTCCAATGACTGAGTAGGGGCCAAGGCACTTTCCTGACTAGCCCTGGGGGCAGGACAAGGAGTAAGTCACTTCACTCTTCTGGGAAGTGGGTTAAGGCTTTGCCATGCACTGGACATTTACAGAGATGTGTACATACTGTACAATTTTCTTTTTCTTCAGAGCACTATGCATATGGGTTTTTTTGTTTAAGAGGCAATTTGTGGGGCTGGGGTGTAGCTCAGCGATAGAGCACTTGCCTAACACATGTGAGACACTGGGTTCGATCCTCAGCACCACATAAAAATAAATTAATTAAATAAAGGTATGAAAAAGATGCAATTGGCTCTGGGGCAGTATTTTGTTTGTCTTATTTATTTATTTATGTAGAGTTCATGTTGTGACCCACCAATGAGAGCAACCAGAATTTTATTTTAATGAACTAAATTTTTTATTTTAATGAACTAGATGAAACAACATCAAATAAAATAGAATAGAACAATATCAAAGTGCTTTATATTGCTTCCTGTGTAACTCTTGTTCCATAGTCTCTGGGTTTCAATTGTGTGTGTGTGTGTATGTGTGTGTGTGTACACTCAGTCACTGTGTAAATGAGGATAATAATAGTGCCCACCTCATAAAGTTGTTGTGGGGATGAAAGGAATCCGTCTGTGCAGAGCTCTTAGAACTGAGCCAAACGTACTCCAAGTGTGCAATCATTTTTGTTTTTGTTGCTGCTGCTGCTGCTGCTGCTGCTGCGGCCATGTTGGCATGTTTGATGGATTCACCCACCCACATTCCTAAGCCATCTATGGTCAGTTAACATCAATGATGCCTGTTTTTAAGTACTAGTAAGAGGACTGAATGCAGTAATGTATGGGCGATGCTTAACACGACACCTGGCACAAAGAAAGTATTCAGTGAATATTATCTACTGTCATTCTACCACTTGGGCCTGTCCAAGGGGCAGAAAAAACTGAAACCTTTTACTGTATTCATTTCCCATATCCTGGGAAAGAGCCCAAATGCCCCTCCTCCAATCCCCAGTCCAGACTGAATGCCTCAGTGAGGCCCTTTGAGAATTTATCACCCTAACCAAGAAAAAAATGTCATTCATCCCTGGACAACCACACTAGTCGAAAAGAAGTTTGGTTAATCTGAAAATCCAGTAATTGGTGAATAATTCATAGATTGTATTTATTATGTGACCTTAACTGACTATCAGCAAACCTCAGTCATGAATCAAAAATGTCATGCTCACTCATCTTGACCCCCAAACCTCCTGATCTGTGGGTAGCCAGGGGATACCAGGGGGCTGAGAGTGGAAGGTGCCCTTGATAATCCATCCAAGTATAATGAAACGCCAAGGAGAGCAGGAGAAGGTCAACTCCCACTGCAGCTGGACAAATGGAAGTTGGAGTTGAGGAAGAACTTCCGAGAAGCTCCAAAAAGAGTTTGTACTTAGGGAAACTTTCTATCAAAGAAAACATCCCTGCCGGGCTGGCCATCTTGTTGAAGAAGATATGTCAAACAAAAAAACCTTGCTATCTGGACATCAGTCCCTTCCTTCAGCCCAAGTGGACTTTGTGCCTGGAAAAAAAATGAGTAAAGTGGAGAATTTTATCATTAGGAAGTCCTTGTTCAGAGCTCCAGCCTTTCTGGTGCAGCCTGTTGTGAGGTGGATTCCCCAAAATGGAGGATTGCTAAGACCGGATGTCACCTTCCAGCTGGGGCATTCAGGGACTCGGTGTCTGATATGATATGGGGGCTATCATATGATATGATAGGCTGGATCCTATCTTAATTTGGGGGGGAAGGAGGCAGTAAGGGAAGGAGGGAGACGCTCTGGGTCTGACAGGGAAGACAGACCCACATTCACAACAAAGGCCAAATGTCTGGAGAGGGCTGCTTTCAGATGTTCCACCAGATGTTAAGGAACTCAACGACTCTGCCTGTGTCCATTCAGGGACAGTGTAAAATGCAGCTGGTCTGACTGGAACAGCAGGGAGGGCTCCCGGGGAAGAGTGAGGACAGGCCTTGGTAAGGAGGCAGTCAAGACAGTGTTGGCAAAAGGGCGTGCACCGGCATACTTCAGAGACTGGGAGCAGGCGAGACCCGGCCAGGGGTGGATGGAAGGGGAGCCTGCAGGCCGTTGCGGGAGTGGAGGGGGCCGAGAGGTACTGTGACAGAGGAGGCAGAGAGCTGTGAAGCAGGGCCAGTGTCATCCTTGAGACTGTTCTGAGACTGCCTGCTGCGAGGCAGCCTGTGGGCCCTACATCTGGAGGATACCAAAACATTTGCCTGCCAGGCTTGCTGGTGTCCAGGGGGCTGTGTCCTCTCTAACCTTGCAATCTTGGCTGTCTGTGGGCAGGCCAAGTTCCAGTGAGGGACATTGAGGGGGTAGCAGAGTGGCTGTTTACAGAACAGCAGAGCTACCAAGCTGTCGCTGGGGGGTTCACCTCAAGTCTAGCCACTATGCAGGCAGTGGGTTAGTGAACTGGGGAGACATTCAAGGTAGAACCCTGCCTCCTCAGCCAGGAGAGCCCACCACACTGGCCAGTTATCCATCAGAACTCACCAGAGGGGAGTCCCATTGGATAAGGAGCAAAGGCCCTTGTAGGAAGCCTGGGTGGGGCTGGACACTGAGCTCTGCCTCCGAGAGCCCTCCCACCAACTAGGCCCCGCGCCTAACCCAGCCCTTGCCCCGGCCCTGCAGAGCTCACTGCTATAAATCTGGAGCTCAGGTTGCCCACCACTCCAGTAGGTCTGGATCTTGTCCTCCATGCTGGGCCCCTTCCCTCCTCCTCCTCCCTTGCTTTTCCATCCCTGGAGTGTCCCCCTTTCTTCCATTATCCCCTGGATCTTCTCCCATTTTTCCTCCGCGGTCCCCCAATCATCTGTCTCCCTCCCATTCTCCCCAACCACTCCCCGCCACAGGCATCCTTTGTTTTTTTTCCAAGTGACCCTTTAGAGTAACAGTCTAAGTCTAAGCATCTCCCCTCCATTTTCCCTAGAAATCCTCTCTCCCCTCCATGCCTCTCTTTCCCTCCCCCAGCATACACCCCATCTCCACTCTGCCCAAGGCCTTCAGGATCCTTGCCTCCGTCAGCTGGCTCACTTTGTCCAAGGACACATCCCCGCTCCCTTCACTCAAGTCCCAGCAAGGAACATCACCCCTCCCCATCCCCACTCCCAGGAATGGGCACCCTCTGCTCTGCTTCATTTGGTCCCCACCCCATCTGACCACAAAGCTTGACAAAATTGGCCACCAAACTTTGATGGCTCCATTACTCAGCACTTAATATGTAGCTAGTACATTTTAATCATTCAACAAATATTTACTGAATACCTACTATGTGCCAAGCCCTTGGAACATAAACAAAACTTTTGTACACATTGATGTGATGCAGTCTTTGCACTTCTGTCCAGGGTCTGGGCCCACATCCAGCTTTTTTTTTTTTTTTCCTAACTGAAAGCTCATCAAGGAAAAGGGTGAGTTCTCCTCCACCCTCTAGTCCTGAGTCCCAGTGGCACCCTGCAGGGCCTTGGAGACAGCACAGGAGAAGAGATGACTGAGTATGTGCTTGTGTGTTACACACAAACACCACCAAATGGGTGCTACAATTATTGATGGCAGGTGGCGGTCAGATAGAGGCACAATAGGACAAACTCATCCCTTCTACAGGGGTCCACAGCACCAGGCTGTGTCAGTTCTGTCTCAAACTCACAACCTGAGCAATTTTTCAACCTCCCCAGGCCTCAGTGTCTAAGAACACAGGTCTCAGGGGGTCATCAGTAAAAATCATGTAAGTC